TTTTTTTTTACAAGAGTTTCATTCTTTAACCATGGTTGTCTTCAACATACGCCATTTAGAAATTGAATTCTCTGACCTGTCTAAATTGAACTTCGTTCCCAAGACCTTTCTATCGACTTCCTAAAGGAAAAAAGACAAGACAACAAGTTGCTGAGAATTATTCCATGACAGCATCATCGCTTCGTGAGTTTTATAACATTTGATCGGCGAACAACAATCCAGGTTCCTTTTGCTTTTCATAAAGCTGGAGAACAAGTGACGTGGTGGCCTCATGGTTAATGTGCCACACCCCCGATCCAGGAGCTGACCACTGTTCTTTCATTTGGACCCTGCCCATAAAGATGCCCCGTTGATCATTGACTGGAAGGGTTTTCCTGGCTGTCTTGATTTAGGCCCTTCTCGTGTGAGTACCCAGCTGCAATGCCTTCTCTGCCCTGTACTGCTTTAATCACAGGCGTTTCACCTTGTTTCTGTTCCAGTCCTTTCCATGATCTGGATGCAAGGTATTCCACTATAAACCAAATCAAAAGCGATCACTCTCAAACCAAAAGTACTCTTTTCAGTAACAGTCAAGTTTTACTGATGCTCATGAATTATTGGCCATGGCTGATGGTTTGCTCAGTTCTCCTTAGTGCTAAAAATAACTTGTTCTGAGAATTTAATGATGCAACAACAAAATATCCCTTCGTAGGTTACACCTTTTGTCAGGTGGCATCTCCCTTGAGACTTGAAGGGACTCCAACAAAATGATGGGAAGGGTTTAAGATGACTTACTTTTTTCCAAAACCTTCCTCCCAGGACTTTCTGCATTTTAAAATAATCACTAGTGAATATGAGAGAGGCACATAATGTTGCTGCTACCAAACTACTTGCAGACACCTAATATTACAAGGTTGTTCAAACCTGCTGAAGTGTGGTGCTGAGTCGACAAAGTTGTTTCTTGATTCCGCTCAACCAATGATGAAGAAACTCCTACAAAAATCACATTCAAACAAAATTTATTTTGGATATTTTCACATCAGCATCTTACATACTCTACTGCAACTAAAAGAGTTTGAATTTTGCTCAGTAAAAAAACACATTAGTGACATATATACCACTACTAGTAGTTTTCTATTTCATGGCCAGCATTGATAACAGTTAAACAAAGAAGATGACACCCTGTATCAATATTTATCAATTAAAGTGACTATTGTTAAAAGTCCCAATATCTATCTGGATGTGCAGACCAAAAGGGTGTGAGTAACACAGGTATAATAGCAACAGGGAGGTTCGAAGGCCTATGGGGTTTGAAACTGTAATCTGAAGATTTATCAGGTGTTAGAAAGTTGGCTGCATTTCCACCTTCTGATCACTAACACACCTGAACACAGACTATAGGTCATTGTTTCACAGGCTAATAGGCCATTTCTGACTTGGCTTTTACCTCTGTGTCAAAATGAGCCTTCATGCAAAACCATTCATATGAAAATGCCTTCTGCCTACAGGTTAATATTCATTTAAATCAAACACATTTTCATAAGAAAGGTTTTGCACAAAGACTTGTTTTGAAACAGAGACACAAGGTAACTCGGAAATGTCCTATCGGATCAGCGGTTCTCCCAGCACTTAGTAAAACAATGACAGCTGACATAAGTTCAATCACATCAAGTATCACAGCTTAATTACCACACCTGTTTCCACGTCTGATGATTTGTACGTGGGTCTTAAATGCCCAGTTATTAGAGATACATCTGGTATGTCACTGGAATCGTCCATACTCTGTAAAATGATACAAAATTTGCAGGTGTATTTGGATCTTTTTCACATTTACCAATTACCAATTGTTTCTGTAATTTCTCGAGTTCTTACACTTGCTATAAAATAGTTTCAATACAGTAACTTAATGTTCTTAAAATTCTGGAGTTTCAATGCACTACATAAGCTGAAAATCTGATCAGGATCAAGCTGGTTTTAATGAGCAGTAGTTCTAGGCCATTTCTGAGCTGCCCTTTGCCTCGGTGTCAAAACGAGTCTTCCTGCGAACCATTAATATAAAAGTGTGTTTCCCCTACAGGTTAATTGTCATGCAAATTTCATATTCACATATGAAAGGTTTTGCACAACACTGACAAGGACTCGTTTTGAAACAGAGGCATAAGGTAACTCAGAAAATGGCCCACTGAGCTAATGAAGTTCCACTTCCATACAAGGGCAAAACATGTGGTTGCTTTTGGTATCTTTTTTTTTCAGCAGTGAGGATAGGTATCTCAAATGGCCACCCCCTGGATCTAATGTGAAGGCCAGCTGCTCACACTGGAACTACTGGCATACAGCTATCTGTAATTTTCTCTTCAAGTCATTTCCTTACCTCTTCCCCAACCAGATCAACAGAGACACTTGACCCTGTAAACAACAATGACAAGAAAACCAAACTGTCTTAATCAACCACTGTCTTTTACAACAGACAAATAGCTGCCATTGACCATACTTAATTTGATCAATGTACCTGGAACTTTCAAGGATTAAAGTTTTTCAAACAAATATTTGAAACTAAAATTATCTTGAAAAATTTCACTTCTCGTTCGTGTGAGTTTGAAGGTTACATAATTGAAATTTACATTGTTTAAAATTTGACATAATAGCAAAGGAAAAAAAGCACAATGTTACATGTTACAGCTCTAGTTCAAAACACCAAACCTGGTAGAAGGTCTCTAAAATCAGTGATATAGTCTCCTGTCCAGTCTCGTGTTCTGTAGATTAACAAAATATATTACAAAGATTTGAAATGGAGATAACAAAATGTTGTTAAAGTGGCTGGCAATAGTTTCCAGCATTTTCCAGCAGTAATACTTTGACGCATCAATACTATCACTCTTTATCAAGTGCCATTTTTAAATTACAAATTAAAACTAAAATTCAGGGTGTTTTTAACAGGTTGTACTGTTACTATGGTAACCTTTTATGCCATGAAGGTAACCACTGGTAAAGACTGGTAGTGAAAAAACAGTAACATTCATTTGCAATTTCATGTTTCATACCTTAGGCATGCTATCTCCATTTCAAAAGGAGTCACTATTGGTTTGTAGAATTCCTGTGTATGAAAATAAACAAAACCAGCTGAGGCTGATCTGGCTTCTTCTCAAAATTATGTAATTTAGTTATTTATTTTAACCAGGATACAATCATTTGTCACTGGATAAAGTAAAGACTTGTAATGTTTATTTCACATTATGGCTGACATACCTTGGAATCAATCAGTGTATTTTCAGGACATGCAACTAACACAAACACATCGACCTCCATGAAGTTGGCCATTTTTGCCACATTAAGCTTCCCCATGACAAATAAATAAGACTGAAAAATAGATGAGATGATATCCCTTAATTACATGTACATGTATGTGGATTATTATCAGGGACATAACATTTCCAAGTGCAGATGTCTACAGGATAAATAAATGGTGACTGATTTTCTGAAATGAGCACTGAAGGCACAAGCTTAGCCTCTGGAGGGATCTGGGGCCATGCTCCCCATGGATATTGTTTTGAAATTTTGCTCCCTAAAGTTATTCTAAAAAATCAGTATGGATCTGCACCATACATTAGCTCAGTGGCTGAGCATGAATGACTTCTGTTGAGAGAACTAGATGCATCACCAATTTTCTTTCCGATACATTCCACTGTTCAAAGTTAAAATTTTGCCTCCCAACCAGCCACACTCATTTTGACCCACTCGAAATGGTTGTTTGTAATGTTTAGTTCCAGAAAATATCCATACCCACCCCAAGGAAGGTTAACGGAAATTCCAAGGGGGAGGGGTTTTTTTAAAAGCCCAATTTTTTGAAGGAAAGTAGAACACTAAAATGGAATTTCCGGAGGGGTGGGGGGGGGGGGGGGGGGGGGGGTTCAAGCTAAAAAACCTTCCATGGGAGGGGTATGGATATTTTCTGGAACAACACAATATTGGTTACCAGGAAGGATTCTTTAGCACACAGCAGAATCCAACCCTTTTATAATTTGCGAGATCGAGGCTTCAAAGTGTTTTAATTGCAAGTGTGAGACATTCAGATGTCATTTATAAAACCAAACTGTGAGACCCGTGAAATTCAACAAAAATATTACAAGACCCATGGTTGAGCACCCCTAGTAAGACAGTTGACCATGTCTCAGAGGTCACCATCAGAGGAGGTTTGCCTTCATTGTTTGCCTGATTTACCTTATCCGAGCTATTATTCATAATAATAATGTTCTATATTAAAAGTACCTTTTTTCCAGCCATCTTTATAACTTGTTTCATTCGTTCAATAACTTTCAAGTAGTCAGCTGTCAAAACAAAATGTCTTTTAGTTTTCGTGCTGCCAACATGGGTGAGCAAAACATGTTTCTTGAAGCAATTTTTGATCTCAGTTAATTTTTGATTTCAACAGTATGTGGTTTGTTTTCTTAGTGTAAGGTAACTAAATGTCCCCTGGGGAATAATATATATAATTATTGGTGAAAAGGGATACAAAGTAAACTAACTCAAAGAAAATGAACCATATACAGTTGAAATAAAAAAAATAACTCCCAAACTGAGATCATAAAGGTTCCTAACCTCATGATCATTCTCATATTATTACACCCTGACCAAATCACCTGTAAAAACAAATTAAAATTCTGGAAAGGATGACACAAAGTAACATAAATTTAATCATCAATTTACCCTAGAATTGATTCCCCAGTCTAATGAGCAAAAGCTGAAGTGTTAAAAGATAAGTTCAAGATGCAACAGAATTCTAATTCCAATATGGAAGTCCAAGACATTTGCTATTAAGTGATTTACATCTATTTCCTTCACAAATAATTGAAAGGAAATTAAGGGGACAGGTTGTGAGAAGTAAGGAATTTATCACAAGGTTAATACATAGAAAGTGGTGGATCAATTTAATTACCTACTCCTAATGTTCCAACCACAATTCCAACTACTTGGGCATCTTTAGCTCGTTGGATCATGTAATACCTAAATAGAGCAAACAAAAAAAGAGACAATTACAACTTCAGTGTACATAACCCCGCCTTTTGGCCACCCTGTTAATTCACTACAGCCACCTCATTATTATGGTCACTTTATTCTGGTCCCCATCCATGACACTGGCAAATCTCCAGTCTCCTCAAGAATTAAATATGTCCTAGGTAATGTTTTTCACTCATAAGGCATAGATTGGCTGCTACAGGAATGCAAATTCACTATTTAGCTCTTATTAACTGAGCAGGAGGTCTGTATGGGAGAATCTTGACCTCAGTCAAGATTCTCCCATACAGACCGATTTAGCTCAGTTAATAAGATGTTTATTACATGGCAAAGAAGAAAACTTTCATTCGTTTAACGTAACTTGTTTGCTGACATTTTGCTCGCGAACGGCGATGAGTTTAACTTAAACCTGCCCAAATTTGCTCATCCTCTTTACTTTTTTTTTTGTCATCAGACTTTTTGGCACTTTCATAAATGATTGAGAAGAAAATAAAAGAAAATGGTGTAGATGCCAGTCTAGATGGGAAAATCTAGACCGCGGTCAACATCGATTCCAGCCAATCAAATTCGTGAATTCAGTAGNTTGACCGAGGTCAAGATTCTCCCATACAGACCGACTTAGCTCGGTTAATAAGATGTTTATTATATGGCAAAGAAGAAAACTTTCATTCGTTTAATGTAACTGGTTTGCTGACATTTTGCTCGTGAACGGCAATGAGTTTAACTTAAACCTGCCGAAATTTGCTTGTCCTGTTTACTTTTTTTTTTGTCATCAGACTTTTTGGCACTTTCATAAATGATTGAAAAGAAAATAAAAGAAAATGGTGTAGATTACAGTCTAGATGGGAAAATCTAGACCACGGTCAATATCGATTCCAGCCAATCAAATTCGTGAATTCGGTAGTTCCCAGTCCCTGTGAGACGCAGCCATATAATAATAGTCAATAATATGTATTCAGAGACTTCATCTCACCGAACGCTGCTTTCAATTGATATGTTTGAAATATGACTATGAGTTATAATCGCCCCAAAATGGTTCCTCAGAAAATTGCACAACAAAAATATTAGGGCCTCAAAAAGGAACTAGTAATTTGGTGCCTTACATGGATCTAGCTTTTTTGATGTAGTGTTAGTACAGGATATCCATACTGTTCCATGGTCTGGGCCACCTGTGTTAAACTTTGTTAGCTAACATTGGTAACCGCTAACAGAAAATTACAAGGTCTTGATGGTAGCACCTACCTTTTCATAAGTGCCTTATTGACATTCAGTGTCTCTTTTCTTCCAACATTGGTACATGGATCATATGAATAAAACTACAAAATAATGAAACATAAAACACACTCCTAAGTTAATGTTACCATCGAAGTGTACAGCTGAGTATGGAAAAATCTGCAGTTACGAACGCTGTGCTATTAAGTATACGCCAGCAGGTCCTAAAACCAAGCTGAGTTTGCCTGTGGTTATAAACCAGTTAGAAAGTGAGAATTCTTTTAGCTACTAGATTCAGCAAAAATGTTTAAGGACAGCAATTCTTAAGTACCTGACATTTGTTATAGGACATCATTAAGTTTCTTAAACACAAACTTTCCCCACCAATGTAAAACACATTATACTCCTCCAACTGTGCATCTGTAGGAATACTGAATTCTCGTCCAAATCTACAAATGATAGAAATGAGCTGGTATTATTATTAAGAATAGGGCAAGAATACCCCTAACTGCTTAAAATGTCACAGAAGCCATGGTTGCGACAATAATCACATTATGGCATAAAGGGCTTACATCACCTATTCCTGGACCCCATTGGTGCATGTGAAAAATGTTTTCCACTTATTTCATTTCACTCAGCCAGCAGAAAATTACACTTACTAATACTACTGTAGGAAACTGCCTTAATGCTGCTGTGGATAGTTTCTAACAGACTAGCATCCTATCAAGGATCCCTAGTCACTTCAGACTTTGGAAACTGATTAAGTTTAAGCACCATCACTGGCTCACGACCCTTCAGCTTTCTCCAACCATTTTTGATACATATACCTTTCAATGTTCTTCCCTTTTGCACATGTGCACCTAAGGCCAAAATTCCCTCCTTGCTAGGAATGGGGAGGTACAAACCCCAATATATTCTTGTCAAAATGTTTCACTTAAACAACAGTTAACACAGACTTTTTAACCTCCAGAAATCCTCAGATTGCAAATTTCAAACCCAAACAAGGGCTTCCCAACTCCCTGTCACTGAATTCCCCCACCTCCATCCCAGTGGTAACAGGTCGTAATAGTCCGGGAACAAATGTAATCCTGTGGGAATTTCATGCTGAAAGCAAGCCACCAATCTAAAAGAGTTCATTAGGGTCTAGTAAACATGAAAAGTTTTGGTGGCAACTCTACAACTTGCTAGGACGCGTTTTCAGCAGGGTTGAAAATCAGACGTATATGAGCCAACATGAAACCGAGGCTGGTGCATTAAATTCTTTGTTACCTCATCAATTATCATCAGTTAACCACCAAACTTGGCAGATTACCACCAACTAAGGCAGCTCTGCACCAAGTCATACTACAAGCACACTACCAGTTGATGGTTTGGAACAATGACTGTGTACCTAATCCTGTTTTACCATCACCATGAGGGTATGGTTGGACAATGGAAAATGATGAGTGGACCCCTGTCATGACAACTCTTTCACCCACTCCCGAGGCCATAATACAGCTTGTGAAGTGCAGATGTGCGAAGGAAAGATGCTCAACAAATCACTGTCAGTGCCACAAAGCAGGGCTGCTATGCACGGACCTATGCAGCTCTTCTGATGATGATGATGAATGTGAGAATCAACAAGGCGAATGTGACAATGATGACAGCGATATTGAGGATGAAGAGGATGATGATGCATTAAATTAGATATGGCCAACAAAAGGTAAAAAATATGGCCATTTTTATTTTACTACTGCTGTGTTTAAGTTGTTTTTTTTTTTTGTCTTATTTTAATTATGTACCATTATTTGTTTCAACATTTGGTTTTATTGGCCGTGAAAAACCCCATTGAGGGAGTCGTTAATTAAGATATATGATTATTATTATATTATTATTATTATTATCATTATCACTATTATTATTATTATTATGATGTAGGTTGCTACGAGTGTAAATTTATCATAAAATGAATGGTTGCTTGGAGCCTCATTTCCGTGCAGGAAATTTGACCACGTGACAAATAAGAATATCATCGGTGCAACCTTGTCATCGAGGGATTGAAATTATAATAACAATTAGAACAGCAATTCGCATAAAGAATAACAAAAACGTTTTTCTGGTCCAGCCTTGCTTTGATGCTAGGTCAGGTGACCACCTCATAATCAGCAGCTGTCACTAAATGATCAAATTGCATATTTCTGCCAATTTGGAGTAAGTTTTACAGGCTTTTGCAAACATTAAATATAGTAATATGTAATATTCTATTCCAGCCTCGTTTCTATGCTAAAAAATCACGTGATCACTTCATAATCAGCAGTTGTCAATAAATAATCATTTTACGAATTTCTGCCAAGTTTGGTGGTCAACCAATGGTAATTGACGAGGTTATAAAGAATTTAATGCAGCAGCCTTGTTTTCATGTTGGCTCATGTACGTCTGATTTTCAACCCTCCTTAAAACACGTCCTAGCAAGTTGCAGAGTTGCCGCCAAAACTTTTCATGTTTACTAGACCCTAATGAACACTTTTAGACTGGTGGCTTGCTTTCAGTACGAAATTCCCACGGGACTTAATTTTACGACATTTGCTCCCAGACTATAAATAAAGAGGGGCAAGTCTTGTGACGGGTCCAAAGAGTATTTGCAAAGGAGGCTACATACCAATTTATCTTTCTCAGGACAGAAATGCATGTTTTATAATTTATTAAATTTTACTTACCTACAAAAATAGCCATTGTTTACTGGATCTTCATTCCTGTCTTCTGGTGAAGCCATGTCAACATCTGTTTCCACTGAGTTACTTAGTAATTTCGTTGTAGAGGTGATGTCCTGAGGATTGCCCTCTTCAATATTTTGCTTATTTTCTAGATTTAGATTTGCAGGAAAATTCTCTTCCTTTTCAAAAGCGGAGTAAGTCAACTTTGTGAATATCACATTTGGATAAATACATTTGATAGCATTCTGGACATCTCCTGAGAGCAAAATAAAATATTAATCCAGTTAAAAATATCATACCAAATTATAGTAATGAAAAGTTAACTACGCAATTTTGAACATAAACAATGACTTAGAATTGACTGTAAAAAGTGCTAACTAAAGTAGTTAAAAGAAGTTTCGAGTCTACAAAACTGTTTGATAAAAACTATGCGAAAACTTTATGTTACATAAATTATATTACATATTAATCGTTATTAATTATCATTCAACACATTTTTCCTTCCTTTTCTTTGGCTGAGAGCCCACCTCATGACCTGGCAGCAAATAACTGCCTACAAATAATATTCTGCTCATGTGTAATTGCAACCACACTTGTCTAAAAAATGGTTTATCGCTTCCAAAAGCTGTCAGAAAACAAACTTGGTGATTGACAGATGAAACATTTTTTCTCTAATTTGGTTATTGCAAAAACATCATGATTTGTCAGTGTCAAGCAGATCAATAATAATTAAACATTTAGCTTTCCTCACCCATGCAGTGATTGTATACCACATCTGAAAACACCACCACTTTAACTGCAGGATCTGGAAATAACTTTTTAAAGTTCTCCAAACAGCTTGGAATGCTGACTGGCCATTTGCCAAATATATGCAACACTGGAAGTCTCCGGGTCCTGT